AGTGGCTCATGCCTGTAATCCCAGCACTTTGGGAGGCTGAGGTGGGAGGATCACCTGAGGTTGGGAGTTTGAGGCCAACCTGACAAAATGGAGAAACCCAGTCTCTACTAAAAATACAAAATTAGCTAGGCATGGTGGCACATGTATCCCAGCTACTTGGGAGGCTGAGGCAGGAGAATCGCTTGAACCTGGGAGGTGGAGGTTGCAGTGAGCCGAGATTGCCCCACTGCACTCCAGTCTGGGCAACAAAGAGCAAAACTTTGTCTCAAAAAAAAAAAAGCTGAATCTAGATGTCTTTACAGGTACCTTTGAGTGAAGCAAGCAAGCTGTGTTTATGTTTCACTCTCTTTCCCTCCCTTATTTACTATACAGCAAAAGTGGTTATTTCCTTTTTTTTTTTTTAAGATGGAGTCTTGTTGCCCAGGCTAGAGTGCAGTGGCATGATCTCGGCTCACCACAGCCTCTACCTCCTGGGTTCAAGGAATTCTCCCGCCTCAGCCTCCCAGGTAGCTGTGACACCACGCCCTGATAATTTTGTATTTTTAGTATAAATGGAGTTTCTTCTTGTTGGTCAGGCTCGTCTCAAACTCCCAGCCTCAGGTGATCCATCTCGGCTTCCCAAAGTTTTGGGATTACACGCATGAGCCACCACACCTGGCCATGTCGACACAATTTCACCATGTTGGTCAGGCTGGTCTTGAACTCCTGACCTCAAACAGTCCACCTGCCTTGGCCTCCCAAATTGCTGGGATTACAGGTGTGTGCCACCGAATCTGGCCTGAAGTTTTTATTTTAAATCTCTATGCTCCCTACCCTCCCTCACCTGCTTCTCTTTTTAAAAAAATTAGAGACAGGGGCTCCTATGTTGCTCATAGGCTGGTCTTGAACTCGGCCTCAGGCAATTCTCCTGCTTCCTACCCTCTTTGTTTCCAGGCAAATTGAATATCGCTGGCTTGTTCTCTTTCTCCTACCCTTATGGTAATTGTAGTATTAAAGGTACTAAAGTTTATGGAAACTGTGTTTGCTTTTTCCAGAAGGACTAGATGATGATGAGAGAGGAGTGGCTTTTGGTGTCAAAAGGGAACTTTTTTTTGGAAATGTTATATTTTTCACAGTGGGAGGTTTTTGTTTGTTTTGAGACGAGTCTCCTCACTCTGTCATCCATGCTGGAGTGCAGTGGTGCAATTTTGGCTCACTACAACCTCCGCTCCTGGGTTCAAGTGATTCTCCTGCCTCAGCCTCCCAAGTAGCTGGGATTGCATGCCCAGCTAATTTTTTGTATTTTTAGTAGAGATGGGGTTTCACCATGTTGACCAGGCTGATCTTGAACTCCTGGCCTCAGGCAGTCTGCCCACCTTGGCCTCCCAAAGTGCTAGGATTGCAGGTGTGAGCCACCGTTCCTGGCTGATAGTGGGAGTTTTTTGTGGTTGCACTCTCCTGAAATGAATGACACAGACTAATACAAATTCAGTATCAGTTGGAAGAAAATTACTTTAAAACCGTAGAAAGAAACTATTGTAGAAAAAGTATTGTCCTCACCCCGAAAGAAATAAGATCTGTTTTACCAATGGTTATTTTAAATGATCTGAGAAACATCAATCCAAGGTTATTTATTCATTTATTTGAGTTGGGAATCTCCCTCTGTCATCCAGGCTAGAGTGGATTGCTGACTTGGCAGCTTTAGACTCCTGGCCTCAGGTGATCCTCCTGCCTCAGCCTCCCACAGACTGGGATTACGGGTGTGAGCTACTTCACACAACCAATTTATAGTATTTTTAGTTGATAAAAGTAACTTTTTCAACAAACTGTAGTTAACAGGGAATAGCTAATTGTAAAGGAACAGGTTCTCTTGAGGTGAGCAGTTAAAAGATGTAATGAACTAATGTATTTGAGGCAGGTATAGTTGAACATCTCATAAGAACTCTGCATGTTCCTAGTGCCATTTTTGCTTCTGTATCGTAGGTTGTTTTTTTTTTGTTTTTCGTTTCAGTGCATTTTACAGGATAAACCTGTGGTATGCACTAAAAATGGTATATTAATGCTTCATTTTCCTGGGTGTCTCCATGTTACCCAGGCTGGTGTCTGTCTGTCTGTCTGTCTCTCTCTCTCTCTCTGTACAGGCTGGTGTCTGTGTCTGTCTGTCTGTCTCTCTCTCTCTCTCTCTGTGTGTGTGTGTGTGTGTGTGTGTGTGTGTATATATATATATATATATGCATGATTGGGTTTGTTTGCTTGCTTTTTTTTTTTTTTTTTTTTTTTTTTTTGAGACCAAGTCTCACTCTGTTGCCCAGCTAGAGTTCAGTGGTTTGATCTCAGCTCCGCCTCCCAGGTTCAAGCGATGCTCCTGCCTCAGCCTCCTGAGTAGCTTGCACTACAGGCGTGTGCCACCAAGGCCATCTAATTTTTGTGCTTTTGGTTAAGATGGAGTTTCGCTATGTTGACCAGTCTGGTCTCAAACTCCTGATTTCAGGTGATCTCTCCATCTTGACATCCCAAAGTTCTGGGATTACAGGCGTGAGCCTGGCCTTTATATTTTTTAAATTTAAAAAATAGAGACAGGGTCTCATTATCTTGCTAGTCTCAAACTCCTGGGCACAAGGGATACTTGTGCCTCAGCCTCTTGAGGAGCTGGGGTTACAGGGGCACTTCTACTGTGCCTGGCTCAGGTTTTTAAAAAAATTTCCTTTAGAGATGGAGTCTTGCTGTGTTGCCCAGGCTGGAGTGCAGTAGCTATTTGCAGGTGCAATTATAGTTCATTGCAACGTCCACCTCCTGGTCTCACAGGATCCTGCAGCTTCAGCCTCCTGAGTAGCTGGGACTACAGGGAGTATACCACAATGTCTGGCTGTTGTAGATCAGTTTTAAGGAATCCTAAAAAGTCAAATTCCAGTAATACTAAATATAGTAATTGGTGTAAACTAATGCATTAAGTGATTTAGGGGTTAATTTTACCCTGTATGTATATCACCACAAGATATTTTTGTAACGGGAAAGTACTTGGGGGAGAAAAAGGAAGGACCTGATCCCTATCCTCGATGTATTGCATGGGAAGAAATTTAGGGTGTTTCTCAAATTAGAAGGTAGAAACAAATTTGTCACACCCTCTACTCAACTCCCTTATTCCCAAATGTTTACAAAGAGTATAGAGGAAATCTGCCCACCTAAGGCAGTCTTGGAAGGACAGTGAATAGGAGGATAAGCCATGAAAGGGTGAAGAAAGAAGGTCCATAAGAGGAGGATGCCAGGTAGGTATTCCAACTCTGAAAGGTATACATAAAACAGCTTGAAGTACCCCTTTGTCACTGTTAAGAACTCTGTTACGTACTAATTTGAGGGGGGCACTGTTAAAAGAGCTTAATATTGAACAACAAACTACGTTACACTTTCTAATCTGAATACATAAAAGTAAGGATAGGTATCTCTAAGTTTTGCAATAGTTCTATAGTTTGAGATTCATCACTCTTCTTTCCCTGACATACCTTTTAATACATTTGAAATTTTAAAATCCTAAGAAAATAAGTTCGTATAGCACTGAGTACAAGTATAGCTCTGGTTTTAGAGTCAAATGGTCATATGTTCAAATTCTGGCTCTGCCACCTACATAAAATGTGAAAAAGGAAATAATTTATCAGATTGTTTGTGGAGCTTTTTTGACAAATAAGAAAGTGTAACATTTTGGATATTTCAAATTGCTACTGGATAAAGCTTTCTTCAAGATACCTTTTTTTTTTTTTTTTTTTTTTTGGCTGGGCACAGTGGCACACGCCTGTCATCCAGGCACTTAGGTGACAGAGGTAGGAGGGTCACTTGACCCTGGGAGTTCCAGACCAGCCTGGGTAACAAAGTGAGACCCCATCTCTATTAAAAAAGCAAATAAATAAAAACCAAAACCCTCTTTTTTGTTAAAAGGATTGGTTTGTCCTGTAGAATGCACTGAAAATAACCCTCTTCCTTATAAACAATCTAGAATGTAATGCTTATTTTTAAACATGCAAAGCTATAATGTTTTTTGGGGGGTGGGTTTGTTTTTTAGAGATGGAGTCCCACTTTGCCCAGGCTAGTTTTGAACTCCTGGGCTCAAGTGATCCTCCGGCCATGCCTCCCAGTGTTGGGATTACTGGTGTAAGTCACTGTACCCTCCCTTTAATGGTATATTAATGCCTCACTTTTCTGATAATTTATGAAATTAAATTTAGATATTAAAGGATTGTGTTTTTTTCCTTATTAGCATTTTGTTTACCATTTTGGTGGAAATTATTCCCAAATTTATTTCATGTATCTTGGCCTTATTATACAAATTATTAAGCTTTTAACAATTTACCTTTGTGAAGTTTTATCCTTCCCCTTCTTGTTCAAGAAGTTCAGCCTTCTCATTGAGGGTCAGATCAACCACCTTTGTTGTTAAAGCCTTCATTGACCATTGTTTTTCTCACTCACTCCTGATTTGCCATGTACGTTTTTTTGTGTGTGTTTGTAACATTTATCTGGAAACCATATATTGCCTTATTGGTTTTTGTTGCTTTAACAGTTGTTTTTCCACATCACAATTTCCTCAATAATGAGAATGATACGTTAGCCCTGTAAGATTTCTCAGTGGAGTAGAATGATACTTTCCGTATTGTAGATACCCAGTGAATATTGGATGATAAACTAACTTAGAATTGTGCCTTCTTCACCTTGTAAGGTCACCACCATAATTGAGGTCATCAGTTCTTACAACAGTAACTTAATTAATGTCTCCTCCTCCATTCATTTCATTCCACGTTGCCAGATAAATTTCATCCCAGATCAGATGGCCTGTCTCATAATCCTTAATGATTCTTTTTTTTTTTTTTTTTGTAACAGAGTCTCTTTCTGTCGCCCAGGCTGGAGTTCGCGGAGCCACCTTGGCTCACTGCAACCTCTGCCTCCCGGGTTCGGGCAAGCCTCCTGTCTCAGCCACCCAAGTAACTGGGATTACAGGCATGTGCCACCATGCCTGGCTAATTTTTGTAGTTTTAGTAGAGATGGGGTTTGACTGTATTGGTCAGGCTGGTCTCGAACTCCTACCCTCAGGTAATCCACATGCCTTGTCCTTTCAAAGTGCTGGGATTACAGGCGTGAGTCACCATGCCCAGCCCTTAATGATTCTTTATTATAACTAACCACTGAAGATATCTGACTTAGCATTCAAAGTCATGATTTGGCTCTGTGTATACTTTTTCAGCTCTTTGTAGCCTTGTGCTTTCTTTTATACAACCTATGTACTCTAGTCTCATTCTGAACAGTTTGCTGTATTCCATATGTCTTCTGCTTTCCTGTCTTTGGCCATTGTACACCCATTGCCCAGAATGATGTTCTTTAATACTTCCCAGTCTAATATTTAATATTCAGGGTCTAGTTCAAATGTCAAGAATCCATGAATTCTGATTTCTCCAACATATAGCCTTTTCTTAATCTGCACCATTCTTAGGACACTTTACCCTTTTAATTTTATTTATTTGTGACAGTGTCACATCTGCTCTGCTAGAATTCAAGGCTGGTTCATTTTCACATTGCTAGAATTATGATTTTCACATAGCAGGCACTTACACTTAGGTGAATGTCACGATCAGCATTTTGCTGTAAGAGTGTGCTATTGTATGGGTTGTTAGTGTCTATAAAACATTCCCAGAATCCTGTGCTTTAGTGTTTGGCCTATCACTCTAATTATAAAGTATGTGAGCTTTGGGAAAGTTAATTTCATTATACATTTTTTGAATATGGTTTTCTGTTCAGGAAGTTTAGCTTGCCTAGGTGACTTTTATAAATAAATAACCAGTTATTTGCGTGATCACATTGTTGCAGTTTTTTTATTTGTTTATACCAGATCTCTTATTCTGAACGTGCTTTAATAAAGGCTGATTTTTTTGGCATTAAGATTGTATGCATCATTAAGAGTAAGACAGTCTGTGTTCAGAGTTTAATTCTAGAGCTAATTATAGGGTAACTTGAGAAGATGAGGCAGTGAGTTACTTGGTACATAAGATCTGAGCACTTAATTTTCTTAAAATAAGTTAATATATAGCAGAAACCTCTGTTGCAGAATTTAGAACTTTAAAAGTTTGTTTTGTTTTGATTTGTTTTGAGATGGAGTTTTCGCTCTTGTTCCCCAGGCTGTAGTGCAATGGCATAATCTTGGCTCATTGCAACCTCTGCCTCCCAGGTTCAAGCATATCTCCTGCCTCAGCCTCCCCGGTAGCTGGGATTACAGGCATGTGCCACCACACCCAGCTAATTTTGTATTTTTAGCAGAGACAGGGTTTCTCCATGTTGGTCAGGTTGGTCTTGAACTCCCAACCTCAGGTGATCCACCCACCTCAGCCTCCCAAAGTGCTGCAATTACAGGCGTGAGACACCGCACCTAGCAAAAGTTTTAATATAAATACTTAGGTAGATTGGGATTCTTTTTCTTTGAGACAGACTCTCGCTTTGTTGCCTAGGCTGAGTGCTGTGGCATGATCACAGCTCACTACAGCCTCAACATCCCAGGCTCAAGTCATCCTCCCACCTCAGCCTCCTCAGTTGCCGGGACCACAGGTGCACACCACCACACCTGGCTATTTTTTGTATTTTTAGTAGAGACAGGGTCTTACTATATTGCCCAGGCTGTTCTCAAACTCCTGAGCTCAAGCAATCCACCCACCTCGGCTTCCCAAAGTGCTGGGATTACAGGTGTGAGCCACCATGCCCAGCCGACAGCTTTTTTTTTTTGAGACAGAGTCAAAAGTGATTATGCCACTACAGTCCAGCTTGGGCAGCAGAGTGAGACCTTGTCTCTTTAAAAAAAAAAAAAAAAAATGGGAAAAATAATAGGCTGTAAAAATGTACAGAAGTTGATTGCTCACCAGTAACTTCTAATATTGAATTAACAAATATTTACGGTATTCTTAACACACTCAGAATTCAGGCTTTTTTCAATTGTGATCTAAATGAAAGTGAGAGTGAGGTGGTAGAGAAGTCCGTGGAAATAAGTGAAAGATTGAGGAAGAGCTGACTTATAGATAGCTACAGTGTGTAGTTATTTTTTTTAGAGATAGGGTTTCACCTTGTTGCCCAGGCTGGAGTGCAGTGACTATTCACAGGTGTGAAAATAGCACACTACTGCCTCAAACTCTTGAGCTCAAGTCATACTCCTTTCTTAGCCTCCCAAGTAGCTGGGACCACAGGCTCATGCCACCATATGCAGTCAAAATGTCCAGGTTTTTTTGTTTTGTTTTTTTCAATTAGGTTCCTTGGGTTAAATGGAAGTATGCGGTTTTTTTGTTTGTTTTGTAGAGACAATATCTCATTATGTTGGTCAGGCTGGTCTTGAACTCCTGACGTCAAGCCATCCTCCTGCCTCAGCCTCCTGAAGTGCTGGAATCAGGAGCCACTAGGCCTGGCCAGAGTCAAAAAGTAAAGTGATAAGGGAAAAATATATTTTATCTTCTTGGAGAATTTGCTTGACCTTTTGATTTTTATGTTCAAATTGGCCTTATGGTAATATTGTTTTTGAACTCTTAGATGAGTTCCTTATTTTGACAATGGATACTTAAAATTTCATATGAATGCATGTATCCCTAGCTTTTAATTAAATTGCCAGCCTAGAGTGTACTCCCAGGGGCCAAATGAGTAATTATCTTATTACTTAATCTAGAAAGCATACTGTAAGGTAACTAAAGGATCTGAAAATGTGGGAATGAAGAAAGGAACCCTCCAAATATATTTGCTTCTAAAATTCTTAAAATTTTCTGAACACACTCATAAAGTTGAATGGCTTTAAGAAGAGTGAGGCTTGGCCGGGCGCGGTGGCTCAAGCCTGTAATCCCAGCACTTTGGGAGGCCGAGGCAGGTGGATCACGAGGTGAAGAGATCGAGACCGTCCTGGTCAACATGGTGAAACCCCGTCTCTACTAAAAATACAAACAAATTAGCTGGGCATGGTGGCGCGTGCCTGTAATCCCAGCAATTCAGGAGGCTGAGGCGGAGAATTGCCTGAACCCAGGAGGCGGAGGTTGCGGTGAGCCGAGATTGCACCACTGCACTCCAGCCTGGGTAACAAGAGCGAAACTCCGTCTCAAAAAAAAAAAAAAAAAGAAGAGTGAGGCTTTTATAACTGACCCAGCTAAAGTTACATATTTAAACCCTTATTTTTTTGGAAGAAAAGCAGTTTACCTTAACTGAGTATTGAGGGTAAGAAACAGCATGCTTGATACCTTGTTTCTTCTATCAGTTGGCAAGTGTGGTTTAAGCTTCACAGGGAAAGGAGAAATGAGTCCCTTACCCCTAAGGAGCCTACAATTAAGGGACAGGACATGAAGCAATTATGAGATCAGTGTGAAATAGTACATAATCAAGTATTGTTTGGTATATAGTTTTGAAGTTGTGTGATCAGTTTGTGATAGGGCAGTGAATCACAAATGTACTTTTTAGCTTCTGAATCCTTGGGATAATCTTACTTGGAACCTGAGTATAAAAAAGTAAATGAAAACAACAGAGTTGCCTTGATTAAACTGAGTGGTGGAGCTTGGAGCCAAAAGGATAGCCTTACGTGTTCACAGGTTCCACATCCTCTGTTCCATCCAATCACAGACAGAAAATATTTGAGAAGGAAAATAATAAAAAAGAATACAAGAGATAACACAAATGTAAAATACATACATATATATATACACACACATATATACACACACACACACTATATATATATAGTGTAACTATTACATAGCATTGTTTTAGGTATTATAAGTAATTTAGAGATGACTTAAAGTATGGGAAAGTATGTAGTTTATATGCAAATATTATGCCATTTTATATAACGGACTTGGGCATCTGAGGATTTTGATGTTCAAGGATTTTGGAGTCCATCAGGGGTGGGACTAATCATTAGATGGTGGACATGAACTTAGGTCACTGAGTTGTATAATTTTGCACAGTATAAGTATGTGTGTGTGAATTTTAATTAAAATGTAATATACAGAAACTACTATATTTTTAACAGAATATCTTGAGTTTTCTTTTGATTGACTGATTGGTTGGTTGGTTGATTGATTGAGATGGGCTCTGACTGTGTTGCCCAGTATGGCCTTGAACACCTGGTATCAAGTGATCCTCCTGCCTCAGCCTCCCGAAGCACTGGCATTACAGGTGTGAGCCACCCAACAAGTTTCTTTTTTTTTTTTTTTTTTTTTTTTTGATTTTGAGATGGAGTCTTACTCTGTCGCCAGGCTGGAGTGCAGTGGCGCAACCTCGGCTCACTGCAACCTCTTCCTTCTGGGTTCAAGCAATTCTTCCGCCTCAGCCTCCTGAGGAGCTGAGACCACAGGCGAGTGCCACACACCCGGCTAATTTTTGTATTTTTAGTAGAGACGGGGTTCACCATTGTTGGCCAGGATGGTCTCCATCTCTTGACCTCGTGATCCGCCCACCTCGGCCTCCCAAAGTGCTGGGATTACAGGTGTGAGCCGCCATGCCCAGCCTGCAAGTTTCTTAATTACATAGCCTGGTGCACTTGCAAAATATAGCCACGACTGTAATATAGTCTATTTCCAAGCCCCCAAAAGGCTCCCTCCTGCCCCCTCCAACAGTTAGTACCTTTTCTCCAAAGGTTACTTGGTTGTTAATGACCTCCTATCACCCATATTTGTTTTGTGTGGTCAACTTCTAACTGAATACATTCTAGCATTGACATAATGGCAGCAGTTTACATTCTTTCTCATTGCTATGCAGTATTCAAAATTCTGTAAGTATACCACATTTTATTTATTCATTCTATTTCAGTGGTGTCAATTTTGGGCTGTATAAATAAAGATGCTGTGAACATTATATATAAGCACCTATTTTGAGTATATATCCAGGGATAGAATTACTGGATAAGGAGCCACGTGTATATTTAGTTTTCCCCCCAATATTTTATTACAGGAATTTTCAAAAATAAAGAAGAGCTGACAGAATTGTTTGAATACCCATATTCATTCCTACCACCTAAATTCTGCAGTAAACATTTTGCTGTATTTTCTTTCACATATACCTATTCATTCTCCTGTCAATCTATCCTGTTAATCTGCTTCAAAAAAAAAAAAAAAAAAAGTTGGCCAAATAGGTGTCCAAGTGGTTGCACTAATTTTCTGCTTGTGCTGACATGAGAGTTTCATTTGTGCCATATCTTCACCAGAACCTGATATTGTCAATCTTTATTTTTGAAATTTTTTTCAGCTTTGAAATATAATTGACATAATTATATATACTTGTGATGTACAACATGGTGTTTTAATAAACGTAGACATTGTGAAAAGATTACCACAGACAAGCTAATTTACAGATCCTTCACCACAGTTATGATTTGTTATTCTGAGAATATTTAAGATGTATTTCCATAGCAATTTTCAAGTATATACAATACTGTAGTTACTACGTTATAACAGATCTCCATAATTATAGATCTGTTTTATTTTAGACATTCTGATAGGTGTGGAGAAGTGTGGAAATGCAGTTGACCCTTAAACAACATAGAGTTGAACAGCATGGGTCTACTTACAATGCTGATTTGTTTAGTCAGATATATTGGAATTTTGTCATGGTGGATGCATAAAATACGTAGATGCTAGTGTGTTACATCATTTACTACCGTAAAGCATACACCTCTATTATAAAAAATTAAAGTTTGGGCTGGGCATGGTGGTTAATAGCTGTCATCCCAGACCTTTGGGAAGCTGAGGCAGGATGATTGTTTGAGCTCAGGAGTTTGAGACAGCCTGGGCAGCACTGTTTCCACAAAAAATCAAAAGTATTAGCTAAGGCTGGGCAAGGTGACTCACATGTGTAATCACAGCACTTTGGGAGGCCAAGGTAGGCAGATCACTTGAGGTCGTTTTTAATTGGGTTATCCGTTAAAACCTTGATTTATAGGAGTTTAAAGGGTATTTTACTAATAAAAAAGAATGGTAATTGTTCTCTGCATAATATTTAGAAAATAAGGCCAGGTGCAGTGGTTCAAGCCTGTAATCTCAGTGCTTTGGAATGCCAAGGCGAGAGGATCCCTTAAGGCCAGGAGGTTGAGACCAGTCTGGGCAGCGTACTGAGACCCTGACTCTACAAATAAGAAAAATGTTGGGTGTGGTGGCGTGCACCTGTAGTCCCCAGCTACTTGGAAGGCTGAGTGAGGCAGGAGGGTCACTTGAGCCTAGGAGCTCAAGGTTACAGTGAAATATGATCACACCACTACACTCCAGCCTGGGCAAGAGCAAGATCCTGTCTTTGTTTGTTTGTTTGTTGAGACTGAGTTTTGCTGTTGTTGCCCAGGCTAGAGTACAGTGGCGTGATCTCAGCTCACTGCAACTTCCGCCTCCCAGGTACAAGCAATTCTCCCTGCCTCAGCCTTCCAAGTAGCTGGGATTACAGGCGCATGCCACCACACCGAGCTTTGTATTTTTAGTAGAGACTGGGTTCCATCATACTGACCAGGCTGGTCTTGAACTCTGGACCTCAGGTGATCCGCCCACCTCAGCCTCCCAAAGTGCTGGGATTACAGGCATGAGCCACCATGCCTGGCCAATTCTGTCTCTTAAAAAACGAAAAGGAAATAAAGAATGGAAGGAAAGTAGAGAATGTGTTAGATCCTAGAATGCAAAGATAAATAAAATGATCTCCATGTTGTCAGTTTACCCACATTCTAGAGAGGAATGTAGGTAAATGGATATAAAATGCACTGCAATAAATTTTATGAAGAGGAAAGTTTAGGGTGCTATATTTGCTCAATACTTCATTATTTTTGCTTTCTTGATATTTTAAATAATACTATGAATGTTTAATGGATAAAATACTTCTTGTTTTAGAACATTTTATTAGTATATATTTTCTTAGGAATTGCTGGATCTGGCCAGGCACAGTGACTCATTCCTGTAATCCTAGCACTTTGGGAGGTGGAGGCGGGAGGATTGCTTAAGCCTAGGACTTGGAGACTAGCTTGGACAACACAGTGAGATCCCATCTCTAAAAAAAAGGGAAAGAACTGCTAAATCAGAGGATGTGAGGATTTTTAAGCCACACAATGAAACAATTGGATCATCCTAAATAATTTAAACCATGGAAAAGTATGTTCCACAAGAAAGCGTACCTGTTTAGTGACCAAAATGTGGAATTGATGAATATTGAGGGGGTTCCCCCTAAAACTTAACCCCCTTTGTGTTGACACATTCATGAGAATTTTGTTAATTAGGTTATAGGTTTTTTTTTTTTTTTTTGGTTTTTTTTTTTTTAAGAATCAAAGAATAAAACATGGTCTCCTTGATTAGGGTTAGATATCCCTTGCCAGCTCCTTGGATGAGTTTCTTTTCTTTTTCTGTTTTTGAAATGGAGTCTCACTCTTTTGCCCATGCCTGGAGTGCAGTGGTGTGATCTCCGCTCACTGCAACCTCTGCCTCCTGGGCTCAAGCAATTCTCCTGCCTCAGCCTCCCTAGTAGCTGGGACTACTGGTGCATGCCACTATGCTCCACTAATTTTTGGGGGTTTTTTTTAGACAGAATCTCATTCTGTCATCCAGGTTAGAGTCCAGTGGCAGGATCTTGGCTCACTGTAAGCTCTGTCCCCCTGAGTTCAAGTGATTCGCCTGCCTCTGCTGCCTCCCAAGTAGCTGGGATTATATAGGCACATGGCACCACTCCCAGTTAGCTACCACTCCCGGCTAATTTTTGTATTTTTAGTAGAGACAGAATTTCACTGTGTTGGCCAAGCTGATAAAGGCTCTTTGGGGGAGCTTTTGGTATTTTCAAGGAAGGGGGTCAAGCTTCATTCTTTTGCATGTGACTAGCCTGATGTGAAAATGGTTTTTCTTTTCTCATTGAATTATCTTGGTATTCCTGCCAAAGATCAGTTGTCTATAAATGTGAGAGTACATTTCTGGATTCTTCATTTCTGTTCCATGGGTCTGTATGTCTGTCGTTAGGCTAGTACTGTACTGTAGCTTTTGTAAGGTTTGAAATCAGAAAGTGAGTCTTTTTGTTCTCCCTTTTCAAGATTGTTATGGCTATTCTTAGTTCCTTGTATTTCCATGTGAATTTGGGATCAGCTGTCAATTTTTGTAAATGAGCCAGCTGAGACTTTGATAGGGTTACTTTTTTTTTTTTTAATAAGCCTACATTGAAATATTCAACGATTGCCCAAACATTATCACCATAAGCCCATAGTTTACCTTAGAGTTCATTCTTGGTGTTGTACATGGATTTGGCATGTATAATGACATGCATCCTCCATTATAGTATCATACATATAGTTGCACTGCTCTAAAAACTCTGTGTTCCATCTGTTCTGACAACCACTGATAGTTGTCTCTATAGTTTTGCCGTTTGCAGAATGTTTCATATTTGGAATCATACAGTATATAGCCTTTTCAGATTGGCTTCTTTCATGCAGTAATATGTATCTAAAGTTCCTCCATGTTTTTCATGGCTTGATGGCTCATTTCTTTCTTAGTGCTGAATAATATTCCATTTGCATTGATATAATAATTTATCCATTTGCCTACCCAAGGACACCATAGTTGCTTCCACATTTTGATAGTTATGAATAAAGCTCCTATAAACATTTGTTTGTGGGTTTTGGTTGGATGTAATTTTTCATCTCCTTTGGGTAAATACCAAAGGATGCAATTGCTGGATTAAATGGTAATAATATGTTTAGTTTTGAGAGAAGTAGCAAACTGTCAGCCAGAGCATACCATTTTGTCTTTGTTGTTGTTGTTGTTACTGTTTTTTTGAGATGGAGTCTCATTCCGTCACTCAGGCTGGAGTGTAGTGTGGTGTGATCTCGGCTCACCACAACCTCCACCTCCCTGGTTTAAGGGATTCTCATGCCTCAGCCTCCCGAGTAGCTTGGATTATAAGCATGTGCCACTGCACCCGGCTAATTTTTGCATTTTTAGTAGAGATGAGGTTTCACTATGTTGGTCAGGCTGGTTTTGAACTCCTGATCTCAGGTGACCCACCTGCCTTGGCCTCCCAAAGTGCTGAGATTACCGGCGTGAGCCACCACACCTGGCCACCAAGCGTACCATTTTGCATTCCCACCAGTAGTAGTAAATGAGTTTCTGTTACCCTATATCCTTGCTAGGATTTAGTGTCCGTGTTTTGAATTTTCACCATTCTGATAGATGTATAGCGGTATTTTGTTTTAATTTGCAGTTTTCAGTGCTTCTCAGCACCTCCCACCCACCTTAGCTGGGATAGGATGGCTGAGGGGCTAAAGTTGGGTAGTTCCCTTTCTCCAGGTAGGTTAAGTAAGCTCTGGTAAAAGTTTCTCCCAGAACTCTAAAAAGGTTGACTGGGCGCGGTGGCTGACGCCTTTAATCCACTGTCTCTACTAAAAACTGCCAAAAAAAAAAAAAGTTTTGCTTAAGGATAGGCTTATTAGGAGCAGAATACTCTGGCTTTTTTTTTTTTTTGAGACGGAGTTTCACTCATGTTACCCAGGCTGGAGTGCAATGGCGCAATCTCGGCTCACTGCAACCTCCGCCTCCTGGGTTCA